TCTTTCGGCCTCCCTTCAGAGACTGACTTCTATGCATGGTGAAGTCTTCTGCAAGTATGAATTCTCCACCATTTCTGAAAGTTATTTTTTGTCTTGCATACAATTCTCCACCTTGCATTTTCTCCCTTGCACTATCATTTGATTTTTACTGATGCTACTGAGAAGTCATCAGTTTTCACCATCATGATTAATATGTTCTTTTTCTGTACTTTTGATTGCCCAGGTGTCGCTCTACTATATTTCCCACTTTGAGTCAACCTTGCATTTGCTCGTAGATTTTAAAAATTTTGGAAAATTCTGACATATCTACAAATACTGTCTCTAATTTCTCTTTCTTCAACTACTACTTTTTTGATTACATGTTGTTGGTTAACTATCTTGTTCTACCTTTTCTATTACCAGCTCTTTTTCACCCTGAATCACCTTTTTTTCTGGCATGTTATAGCTCAATTTCTCTTCTTTTGCATCTGACCTGCTTCGAAATTCTTCCTTTGAGAATTTCAGTTCAATTACCCTAATTTTCATGTTGAGAAATTCTGTACAGGCTCATTTTCAAATATATTTTGCAATCTAAGTTTACCATTTCCTGCAGATATTTTCAAGGTAGTCCTTTATTTCTCTGAACAAAGAATTATCAAAGACATTAAAAAATACTTAAGTTCTCTATGATTAAAGACTTTGAAGGTCTATACCTGTTGTTCTTGTTTCTTCCTATCCATGGTGCATCTCATCTTTGTATTGTGTACTAAATTAACCAAGAGGTGCCTTCCCCCGCCATCACAGCTCTAATTTTTTGAATCTTAAAAAAATATTTTGCCAGGTTCTTCTGGGTACATATTGGTTCTTCTGTCCAGTGCCATTTAAAAAAGTTATTTCTTCACAATTTCTTTCTGATTGCATGTTTTTATTTCTCTTGGGTGGATTTCCATGTGTGGAATTGCTAGGTCATACATTAATGTTTAAATAGAAATTGCCATAATTCAATGCCCCCCCCACCAGTAAATATACTCTATTACATTACATGCCCACCATTAATGTGTGACAGTCCTAGTTGCTCCATGCAATTTTGTTTTATAAGAGGAACAAATGTATATGTGGAAATAAAAGAAAAATGGCCATAATATATAAACCAATCATGTAACAGTGCTTATTTTGGAGTAGTAAATGTATGATTCTTCTTTAGGATTTCTCTGTCAAATATTTTTATAACACTTTTATAGTCAGAGAAAAATATTTTAAGTAAAATTTTAAAACATAATAAAAGAGACAAAGCAGTATATACTAAGTACCAATTAAGTTGTCTGATAATTAGATCTGTTAGACCTACTCCATAGGGCTGGAGTTTTCTGGGGTATCTTCATAGAAGAGAAGAACTCCTACACAGTACCCTGTACATGACACAGTAAATGCTTAATAGTCACTCTAATAGACCTACCCCAATAAGTAGACACCTCATTCTAGAGATGAAGAAACTGAGGCTTAGAAATATTTAATTAACTTTACTAGTTCACAGAGCTAGTAAGTACTTAAACTGGAATTCAAGCCTAAGTAGTATAACTCAGTCTTTACTTACAGTAAATAACCAGTAATTGCTGGTAGAATATAAGCTCCATTTTAGGTCTATAAGTAACATAAGAGCAGAGACCTTGTCAGTTTTGTTCCTTGGCACAAGTATATCTGTATATATCTGCAAATAGTACATTATAGAGAATAGCCATCAACTACAAATTTACTGTATTAATTAATAGATACTTTTTTATCACTATAATTAATAACCAAAAATTGATTGACTTCAATCTGGGTTTCAGATTCAGTCACTAAAGCCAACAGTGTAATATCTATAATCAAAATGGTAATATTAAAATTTTAAAAGTGTGAAAGACAAATGATGTCAAAGATTCTTAAAACATTTTAGTGTTGCCCTATTTCAGTACTGATGTTATATTATTTTTTGACCTAGAAAATGTACACCCTATGGCATAAGACATATATCATAAAAATGAGAATCAACTAAGTTATTCTGTCTTTTTGAATCTGTTATATATGCCCCAAATTGCAAAAATGTATTAACAACAAATATGTGCCCCTTTATGCTAGTGTTACAGAAATAAAATATAAACTATATTAAATATGAAAATGTCATTCCATCTATAGCACCTACAGAGTAGTGACAGAGATGGAATCAACCCAGAAACAGTTGGGCATTGGTTTCTTATGTAAATAAGGACCACATACTACAAAAGAACACCACCAAATTTTTAGCCAGTGTACAAAGTTGCCAAGGAAGTGAGTTATACCACAGTTAACAAAAAGAAAAACAAGGCTATATTTTATATTAAAAACCAAATTTGATGCAGAATGCTAAATCATTTTTTGAGGAAAACTTGCTTATATTACCCTTGTTGTAAGGGATATCGGTTTTCTTTTTTACTAAAATCTAAACTCCTATTATTTGAAATATCTAGAATCTGATTCTTTAAATCATTTTGCAGTTTTCTTTCCACTGAAAATTCTCAAATAGTAGTTATTAAAATGTTAATTTTCAAGGAAAGTTTAAGATGGCAAAATGTGAATTGCAGTGCACAAAAATACATTATAATTATGTATATACTTATAATTATGCATAATTATAAAACAATACATCTTTATGGTAATATATTCAAATACCACATTAATGGTCCAAACACTCTGGAGAGCTGTGAGGAGACTTCTTGACCTACTAAATATAGAGCTTCCATATGATCAAGCAATTGCACTCCTAGGTATTTACCCAAATGACACAGAAACAGTAATTCCAAAGGGCACCTGCACGCCTATGTTTATATCAGCACTATTTACAATAGCTAAGACATGGAAACAACCTAAATGCCCAAAAATAGATGACTAGGATCAAGAAGATGTGGTATATATACACAATGGAATATTACTCAGCAATCAAAAAAGATAAACTCATGCAATTTGCAGCAACATGAATGGAGCTGGAAGGGATCATGCTCAGCGAAATAAGTCAGAAAGAAAAAGAAAAATACTGGATGGTCTCACTCATAGCAGGAATTTAGAAAACTTAAATAAGAGACCAGGAAAAAGACTAATCAAAACAAAGTAAAAATCAAAATCAACAAGAAACTATAAACCAGAGACATATTTCGGGGAGAGGAAGGACTAGAGTCAAAATAAAGGGGGGGGGCAATTGTATGGGGAATATAACCATAATGAAAATGCATACATTGTGCAAAGATGAAAAAGGATGTAAGAATTATATAAAATATCAAAAAAAAAAACCAAAAAACAAATACCACGTTAAAATTTAAAACACAAGAGAAAGACCCAAGATGCTGCTTTCTCATAGCCAATAGTAACCATTAAATTCACTTTTTTCTCAGGCATTTTCTCCCAAATATTCTAGGTGCCTAGATGTAAGCACCTGCCACCTAACCCCCTAGATATGTGATCTATCAATTATTCTTATATATTTTTTCCCAGCTTAATAATTTTATCTTGAATATCATTCCAAACAGCTTGTAAAGATGTTTCTTGTTTTTTTATGATAGTTGTCTAATATTCCGTTTAATTTCACTCCCATTTTAATATTTAGAATGTTTTTACTTATTAGTTATTAAAAACAAATTTTCAGTCTCTTTGTACATTTATTCTGCTTATATTCATAGACCATTTTCCTAGAAGGGTATTTATAGAATTAAATTGAAATACAGTTGATGTTTTGAAAAGAGATTGCCAATATGTTCTACAAAATAAGACTGTACATAAAGTTATACTTTGTGATTTCTTGGTTGGGATAGGTCAATGGGCTATTCATGTTTTTATGAAATTACTTGTATTTAGTATATAACTTTTGAAACATCAAAGAGTATATTAAGCCAAAGAAATCATCTGCCATTAACCAATCCTATTTCAAAGTATAACTTACAATCAAAGTAAAGCATGGGTTTCTGAAGACAGACAAATGAGGATTCAAGTCTGAGCTCTGACCAGTATAACGTTAATCATGTTATTTAGGCTTTGCTAAGCCTTGATTTATGTTTTTGAAAAATGGGAAAAATAACAGTCTCTCTGATAGAATTATTATGAAGATCAGTATATAAAGTGTTTATTGAGGAGCCTAAGAAGAATGTGTTTGATAACTCATGGTGCACTGCTCAAATGATTAACACATAGCAAAAGCATGGATGTACTTATATTTTCTAAAAAATGTGAATCCTAAATCTCTAAGAACACTTATCTTCCCTGAATTTCTTGATTCATAAGAATATAAAATCTTCAATTGAAATCCCTATAATCATGAAGTAATGATTGATGAGCAGAGTTTAGTATGAATGAACACAATTTGTTAAGGTTCAAAGAAACTCAAAGAACATAAAGTTCTAATAATTAAAAAAACTTGAATAGGGCCTCCCCGGTGGCACAGCGGTTGAGCGCTGGGTTGCGAAGCTGCCTGCAGCCTCTGCAGTGCCAGTTCGATCCCCAGCTGCTCCCCGGCCACCGGAGGAGGGTCCCACATGGCGCGCAGTCCTCTCCTGACCCCTGCTGCTCCCCTCAGCAGTGTACTTCGGTCCTTCTGCCTGCTCTGCTCCCCGCTCTGGCTCTGGTGAATTCTCTCACCCTCCTGTGCTTCTGACTGTACCCAGTGCTTGTATAAATAAATAAATAAATCTTTAAAAAAAAAAAAAACTTGAATAAGGAGATCTGGATTTAGGTTTATCAAACTGCAAAATAATCATTTTTCTACTTAGGATAAAACAAAAGAATTTCTAAGACAGTATTTTGATCATGAGAGCTAATAGTTTATAAACACTGTTAACTTGAGAATCACTTTAGCAAGCATAAACCTTCAATACTGAAAATGTTTTCAAGCATTCTTATTGACAGTCTAAATTTCCCAGAGATATGATCACCTCAAATTTCTCTATACAGGAAATGTTAACATCTTCAGTTTGAGGCATCAGAAAACATTTAAAACAGACACCACAAAATGCATCTGCAGTTTAAAGGTCAAATTTATTAAGAGATTAAAAGATGCATTATACAAGGACTATAAATACTGCACAGCTGACTTTATTCACAGTCAAGAGCAGAGATATAGTCAGTGCCAACCTATTTTGTGGATACTCTTGTTCTTTTGTTCCAAGAAAAGTTTGCACCATAAGACTTGGACTTGGGTTTTGGAACCCTCCTCTCTTCAACGTCATAGCTCCATCCTAGAAAACAAAAACAGAAACAAACCCACAGGAACAAAATTAAAGAGGATACTTGAATAACACAGCAAGCAGAGGCTACCTTGCATAAATGTAATGTTCACTTATCATCGCTAGTACATGTCAGCACATCTGAAATATAAATACTTACTTAGTAATTTGTTCCCTTACAATACTGTTGACAAGAGATTAAAAACATTGCCTGAGGATGATTTACCCTATCTCAAAAATGTAAACCATGATTTGACTTCTCCATGCTCAATTACTTAAGCCTATATAAAATTTTCCATTCCTCTATGTGATTTAATGTGTGATTTTTTTTTAGAAACTGCAATGAGGAACACTGAACAATATAACCGAAATTACTATTTTCCAAACGCTGTGACTTTACAACAGTCTTGAACTCAACTAGAAGTGATACAGAAAAATATGTGTATCTATATAAATCAAAGTTGGAGAAGACCAGGAGAGAGCACTTGGTTCACCTCTCAAAACAGGGTCCTGATTAAACTTAAAAAATTAATCAACATTTGTATCCAAGACTTAGAAACTCCTGGAAGTACTCAATAACAATGTAAATTCTAAGTCCATTGGATCAGACTCTCTAGGGAGGGCCTCAGAATCTTCATTTTAACTACTGATCCCAAAAGATTTTGATGCATAAGCATTTGAGAACCACTGGTCTAGTCTAGTCTGAGTTTATATCTTCTTTCCAGAGCCCTTCCCAGTGTTTTATAAGTTTGAAAACTAGATTTATTTATGTTTGTCTTCCACTTTAAGTTCAGTTCTTTATGTCCTACAAAGTTACAGAAAACTACCAAATCAACAGTCTCTTCCTTGAAAATATAATGAAGTCACCCTTATACTCCCTAGTCCAAGCAACCTCTGTAACTTCTACTTTTTTTCATAAGATAATTACAGGGATGAGAACTAGATCTCCTCTTTTAGGATTTTCTTCAGCTAACTCATGTTAGATCCTTTGATTCATGGCTGAATCATGGAGTCATTAAAAAAAAAAGTCTAAACTGAATAATATAAGTTCTTGTTCTTGTGCACTGTCATGAGTTCTAGTTCTTCTTGCGGAATACAGTATTTGATACCATAAAGTTTATGCTTCAATAGCACCATAGTTAGAATTTTGCCATAAAAAACGAAGTCTGTTATTCAAGAAATCAAACTATACCCCTGCTATTTCAGTATCCAAAAAGGGAAAACAATTCCACTGGTAAAACTCCATCTTCAAAGAAAGTCCATTTGCTATAAAGAAATGGGGGAAGGGAGAAAGCAAATGAAGCAAATGGTTTAAAATGCAAATGAAGCATTAGAATCTTGGTTCACTTGTTTAACATAACTGCACTTTCAGAGTAGAGAAAATGTTTTCAGTAATCTCCTACTCATTAAAACAAATCACAGAGCTGTATCTTATTTTAAGAGGCCCTGAACTTATAAGCACATTAATAAGTGGTTATTTACATTTAAAAAATTTACTAAACAGCATAAGAACAGTACCTACTTCATAAGCTGTCATGAGGATTAGACAAGCTAATTCATACAAAGTGCCTAGAAAGCACCTAGTAATTAATCATTTCTTGAATTCTGTGAGAAAACCTATATTTGAATTAGTACTCTCTTTATATTAATGAAACTGAAGTACATAGTAATTATTAGGTAACTAGCACAAGGCCACTTAGCTAGGAAGGGGAAGAATTGGGATTTGAAAACAGACAACCTGATTCCAGAGCTTCTCTCTTAACTATATACCATCTCTTGCCATTTATAGTAAACACTTCATAAATGTTAGCTGAATTTCTCTTTCAAATTTGATTCACAACTACCTAGCAACACATCATCTATACAAAATGAAGTATTCATGTAAGTAAAATTTCCATCACATTGGAACCCTATTAATTTTGAATTTGAATTTGTGGTGCTCTGGGTCTAGTAATTAATAGATTAAATTTGCCCTACAGGTAGGGATTTTGGTAAGCTAATTGAACATGATAACTTTATAAATTTCTCAAGCATTTCCTACATTAATCAGTAAATAATGCTAATAATTATAAAAAATACTCAATTTAGTAAAGCATGTATAATAATAGTATTTATGGGACATTTGCTACTCATTTAATAAACATTATTGATTGCCTACTTTGTATTAGGGATTGTTTAGACACCAGAGGGTAAAGCAGTGAATAAATCAAAGAATTCTCAAACTTCAAGTTAGTAGGGGAAAAGAACTAAATGAATAGTATATCAGGGGCTAATATAACACCTAATATTAAAAATACATATTATATGCTAAGAGTAGTAAGCAAACATTTTCACCAGGGTAGACAGGGAAGCCATCTCTCCCGAAAGTCACATTTTGAGTAAAGACCTGAAGGAGGGTCAGAGAGTGAGCCAAGTGGATGTGTGAGAAAAGTGCTTCCAAGAGAACAGCAACACCAGGGTTTGGAGGCAGGAGCATGCCTGGCCGACTATGCTCTATATGCTAGGCCCTGTGCTAAGTTCTTTAAATGAATCTTTATCTGGTTTTAAAATAGAGTTTATAGGTTACATGGCTTATGAGGTACACATAATGTGTTCCAATTTTATGTTGTGAGGAAAAACAAAACATAGAGAGGAAATGCAAGCAATCTAGAGCCACATGGCTAGTCAATGGGAAAGCCAGAATTTTAACCGAGGTTGACTTTTAAAGCTATGCACACAATCACTGCATAAGTAAAACTGCATTTCTTTAAAATACTTTGTAATTGCAATTTTATCTATTTTGCCCATTTCCTTTCGTTCTGTGAGATTTCGTAAACTTTTATTTTTGCAAATACATTTAAAAGACTTTTCTGAATCTTTGCAAAATAAGTCTATGTCTCCCATGTGTTCCTCCTCAGTTGTGGCCAAAGGAAATAGTTTCTAGTGTAGGTTCTATGTCTGGTTATATTTGTTGGTAAGTCATCTAAGACCATCACAATCTTTTCTTACCAAATGAGGGGTGAGAGAACTTATGTCTCCTCCTTCCTTCCTCTAACAGTCTCCAGCCAAATAACAAGGTTAAGAGCTGAAGAAATGAAAAAGCACTTGGAAATATTTTGGAACTGGTATTAAAGAAAAATAATATGCCTGATAATCACTCTTTCATTTACTCAGTTAACTGGTCTTTCAACCACCAGGGAGAATTTTTTTTTTTTTTAAGCTCCATCAAAATGCAGACACAGCTGTATTATCTATTCTGTTCATAGACTTTCTAAATGCTGTCGGGGTCACTGCAACGTGAGAAGACTAGGGTTTTGTACACATAAAAGAACAACTGGTTTGGGTTTTCTCCTGGTAACTAAGAAGTGAGCTGGCTCTTGGGAATTGTGAGCCAGATTATAGTTGCTATTGATGGTGATAACAACAATAAATATAAGTATCATTATAGGGATTGGAATGTGGATGGAAAAGCACTCTGAAAACAAAAACACACATGGAAGAAACCTGCATCTACCAAAGGTATGCACACTGTATAGGCTACCAGTGACACATATGATTGTGAGGCTACAGAGGGGAAAAAGTTTCTTTCCCTGATATTTTTCTGTGGAAAATTTGTTCTCAAAACTACACAAGCACTGTGTTTCTCAAGTGAAAATAAAGAAGGGTAGAAGGAAGTGTAATACAATTCACATGAGGGACTGAAACTTTTGTCGGAGCCTACATAAATCTCCTTTTGGATTTTCTATCATTCAGAAAACCTTTCAACTATGTAGGACCAATGTTATAAGGAAAATCTGCTCTTTTTTAGGATTGTGTTAAGAATCTTGATTCCATTTCCAAGCATCCCTCTCCAAAGGGTTTCCTTTCAGTGCCTGGATGAAAAAATTTACTGGTCCCACTATATTTCATACCACAATCTGTCCCAAATTATTTTTTGTAATGTAGCAATATAAAGGCTATTGGAGCAAGTGGTGACCTTTAGCTAAAAAGGCAAATAAGTGTAAGAATAACAACTTGAAAGGATATTAAACACTTGTACTTAATAATGGGTAAGTCACATGAACTGAACTCATCTTTTCTATTTCCCATTTGAAATTTGATCTTAAAAAGAACATAACTTAGGAGAATTAGAATGTAGAAATTTAAGAATGGAGTATTACTTGTAAAATGCTTAGATTTCTTGTAAGAATTTCTTTTTAACTCTCAAACAACTTCTCCTTAAAATAATTTAAACAAGTTCTTGAATGAAATCATGGAAGTGAACACTTATATTCTCTAAAGAATGCATATATAAAATCAAGGTGTAGTCTACGACAGTGGTCCCATATGTTGTTCTACTAGGACACTGAAAACCAGCCCTTACTCTTCCCAGCTGTGTAACAGAAGATGATCAAAGCAACAGAGTCTAAGGCAGCTGCCCCAGGGATGGAGTAAAGCTCCTGAGGCTGCAGTCACTTCCCACTGAGAAGAGCAGCCATATGGCATGGATTAACCACAAATCCAACCACCAGCACCTAAATGATGAGAAGCTGACTCCCTTTGGTGTTTCATGCATTGGAATGCTTTCACAAAGATATTTTGAACTTTAAGCCTTAGTGTCAAAGAAGTACCTCTGGCAAATGCTCTAGTAAACTTAAAAATGTGATCTATAATATCCAGGGTTCAATTTCTTTATAAATATAAAAATTAACTAAATGTCCATTTAGTTAACCTACAGACTAATCTGGCTCACAGTCGGGATATTCTTCATCCTAAGATATGAATGTTTGGTGTAATAATCTTAAATTTCATGAAAAAACAAAAACAAAACCACTGAACAAACCCAGACCACAATTAACTTACAAATTCCATGTATGAAGCAAAAAAGGAAAATTCATCTTTATTAACAGAACCATTTTATTTATAATTCAGCTATACAAAAACAGAGGAATATTCATCAGTGTTTTTATTGCTCCAGAAGTATTTTACCTCTAATAACCTTTGGTTCAAGTCCTATTATAGAAGTTCTTTCTCCTCTAACAACCTAATCTCAA